TCCTCCTCCTCCTCCTACTAGTCCTCCTGTTCCTCTTCCTCCTCCTCCTCCTCCTCCTCCTCCTCCTCCTCCTCCTCCTCCTCCTCCTCCTCTTGGACGGCCCCGACACACGCCAGGCCGTGAAGAGATGTCGCGGGCGCGCCGCCTGGCCGGGGAAAGCATACCAGTGACCCCTCCGCGCGGCAGGGCACAGCTAGCCCATACAGTAAGGACGCGCGGTACAGTCGGGGCGTTGACCTAAGGAACCCTCAATAAGGAACGAGGCCCCCTTTTCCAAAGTCAAACGTCGATGACCCATCGAAAACCTAAGGTAAACCTGAGGCAGACTGTGAAACAAGTGTGAGGAGCAGGGAGCCCGTCCCCAACGAAAAGGGTTCCTTCTCCAGCGCCCCGACTGTAAGGATGCAAGGGCCTTGGAGGGCCTCGTGAACGTTTTTCGAGCGAGGCTGGCAAGCGAAAGTCGCCAAGGATGGGCCGAGGGGGCCAGGATGCAAGGGTAGCCTTGGAGAGTCAGTTGCTCATCCTCACTGTGCGGGCTGCCTGTAGGCGGATACCCCGCGGGAGGAGGAGCAGGCGAAGGAGGAGCTCGGAGGGGAGAAGGTGAGGCGGGCCAGACCGACAAGCCGACACACCCCAGAGCTCCTCCTGGCTCATCGCTCGCCTTCCTCCACCTCGTCCTCGTCCTCGTCCTCGTTTTCCTGCCCATCCTCCTCACCATAATCCGCATGCTCCCCTCTGTGCCCTGACCCAAAAAAGCCTCAGCGTGCAGTTGGTAACTCGACACTCCTCGTCCCCAGAAGCCGCTGCAGAGTCGAGGTTGAGATCACCAGATGCGCGCTTCACATCTCTCTCAATCGGAAGAGTCGGGGGGATGGAAAGCTGAAGCGTGTCCACACGTAGAGTGCAAGTGCACGGCGAAAGGCCAAGGAGACAAATGATTGCAAATAGTGGGACGATGGTGACACAATTCGCAACAGTCCAGAATTGGCGGCGAGCGAGGGGGGGAAGTGAGAAGGGGCGGGCCTTCTCAGAAGGCTCGGAAGCCCCCCGGCCCCCAGCCTTCTGAGAAGTTTTCGAAGCCTTCCCCGAAGACACAGAAAACCTCCCAGAAGGCTGGAGGGCTTCTGAGAAGTCCCGCCGCCTTATGAGAAGGCCTTCTCCTTCTCATTTCCCTCGCTCGCTCTCAACCGACAGAAAGAGAGCGCTAAGAAATGATGATGAGGTCTGGCGGCAAGACAAGGAATCAGGCAGAACTTGTTGACATGCGTGGTCTGACTTGATGGACGATTGACAGGACGAGAAAGGTGGTGGTGAAGGCAAAGTGCGGCAGCGGGCGCTGGGGCTGCGATTCGGAAGAATGAGTGGGCCGACACCGATCCCGAGACACAGACTTTGTGGCCGAGGGGGGTGGTGATCGGCACGGTTTACAGGGGTAGGCTGAATGGATCGTCAGGGGGCTTCTTAGAAGGCATGGGGGGATCAGTAGAAGAAATCGGCCCCTTCTGAGAGGACGCTCAGACTCTGAGAGGGGCTTCTTAAAAGCCGCCCCGCCCCCCTCGCCCTGCCCCTGCTGCGCGCCGCTGGGGCGAGGGAGGAGAGCAGCAGCAGTTGGCAGGAGGAGGAGGAGGAGGAGGAAGATTACCAAGCTCGCTATAGGCTTCAAAGGTACCTAAACCCATCTTCAGGGATGAGCCGGCCATCGGCGGGGCGAAGAGCTGGAGGCTGCGGGGCAGCTCGCGGGAAATCCGTGCTGCCAGAAACCGGTAGTCGTCCGACAGCGGGCCACATCCTCAGAGCAGGGGGGAAAGGCCGAAGCCTGATGCCAGACGCCGCGGCATATTGAGCAGGAGCCTCAGGCTCGCCGCGACCCTTTGGGGACCCCGACGGTGCGAGAGACGGAACTAAAAAGAGGAACTAGAAAGTCCTTGCACACTCTCTTTGCGTCTTCGTTGAGCGAGGACCGACCGCCCCGGCTCTCCCACAGGCCTACCATTAAGTCGGGCGTGTCCCCCTACAGGATGATTTCCGACGAGAAAATAAAAATACCCCGAACATACTTTTTTGAACATTCCAAAAATAGTCTGGGGACTATTCTTTTTTGTATTTTTGACCTTTTTGGAATATTTTGGGGTATTTTTATATTTTTCGTCGAAAATCCCTTTGTAGGGGGACAGGCCCGACTTCAGCCTACCACGGCATCGTCTCAGAACCCCAAAGTGTTCGAAGAACAGAAACAGCGCTCTGACAACATAACCCCGATGGGTTACGACGAGACAACCTCAGCCAGAAGCGTTCTAAGAACAGTTCGTGCGGACCACAAAAATCGGGTCGGGCGAAAGGGGGGGATAGCAAAGGGGGGGTTTGAGAATCAGCTCACGTAGCTGATTTTCCCGGCGCCTCCCAGCGCCGGAGGCGGCCATGTATCGAGGAATGGGCCCCTTGGCGAGGCCGAAACCAGCTGCACGCAGCAAATTTCGTAACCCCCCCTTTCCCAATCCCCCCTTTCGTCCGGCCCGAAAAAGGTTCTCAGAACATTCCCTGGTGGGCCCATCGGCGAGCCAGGACGCTTCGCCACTGCTTGAAACAGCGGTGTAAACCGCCGCGCCGGCCATCCCCCGGCGCCTGGCTGCTCTGGCCCGCGCGCCTCAGCTCCACTGCTGCGCCTGCCAGCCCTGGAGCAGACAGGAACACGTAGGAGGACGGAGGAGGAGGAGGAGGCGGAGGAGGAGGAGGAGGACGAGGAAGGAGGAGGAGGAGGAGGAGGAGGAGGGAGAGGAGCGAGGAGGCGGAGGAGGCGGAGCGTACCCAAGAACTGTGTTGCATTTCACACAGGCGATCATATCGGCCCGCCACACCTTGGCGAATGAGAGAAGGCCGAAGAGTTATATAAGAGAGAGCGTGATCCACCGCCGCTTTACTGTGGAAAATTCCCCCTTTCTTCCTCCGGAACCAGGGGGTCCCCCCCCTCCGAAAATCCATCCCCCCTGCTGGACCCCCCTCCCCCCTCCCCCCTTCCCCCCGAAACCCCCCCCCCCCCCTAACCTCACCCCCCCCTTCCCCCCGGAAAACCGGGTGGGGGTCACTACCGGTTCGATACCCCTCCGGCTACCCCCCCCCTGCGGAAAACCGAACCGGGGGGGGGTCACTACCGGTTCGAACCCCTCCCACTCCCCCCCCCCCAGAAAACCAGTGGGGGTCACTACCGGTTCGAGGGTCACTACTGGTTCGAACCCTTCCCCCCCCACGCTCACCGCCGGCAAAGACTCCCGGGTTCCTCCTACCTCCGTCCGCACCACATCCCCCACTGCTGTCCCCAGCACCACTGTCCTCACCACCACTGTCCCCACTGTTCCCACCACCGTCCCCACTGTCCCCACCAGTGCCCCCACCACTGTCGCACTGTCCCCACTGTCCCCACCACTGTTCCCACCACTGTTCCCACCACGGTCCCACTCTCCCCACTTTCCCCACGGCCCCAACCACTGTCCCACTGTCCCCAGTGTCCCACTGTCCCCGCCGCTGTCCCACTGAGCTGTCTCACTGCTCTCACCACTGTCCCCACTGTCCCCACCACTGTCCCCACTGTACCTCTGTCCCATTGTCCCACCGCCGTCCTCGCCACCGCCCTCACCACTGTCCCCACCACCACTGTCCCCACAACTGTCCCACTGTCCCCACCACATTCCCACTGTCCCCACACCACTGTCCCCACCACCACCGTCTCCACCACTGTCCCACTGTCCCCACTGTTCCCACCATTGTCCCCGCTGTCCCCACCAGTGCCCCCACCAGCGTCTCACTGTCCCCACTCTCCCCACCATTGTCCCACCACGGTCCCACTCTCGCCACTTTCCCCACGGTCCCCACCACTGTCCCACTGTCCCCAATGTGCCCACCACTGTCCCACTGTCCCCGCCGCTGTCCCACTGTGCTGTCCCACCGTCCCCACTGTCTCCACCACTGTCCCACTGTCCCCACTGTCCCCAACCACTCTCCCCATTGTTCTACTGTCCCACCACTGTCCTCACCGCCTTCACCACTGTCCCCACCACTACCGTCCCCACCACTGTCCCACTGTCCCCACCACTGTCCCGCTGTCCCATCACCACTGTCCCCACCAACACCGTCCCCACCACTGTCCGCACCACTGTCCCACTGTCCCCGCACCACTGTCCCCACCAACACTGTTCCCACCATTGTCCCAGTATCCCACCATTGTCCAACTGTCCCGCGGAGCGGGAATCGTTTGCCGGCGGCGAGGGGGGGGGGGGTTCGAACCGGTAGTGACCACCCCCCGGTTTTCGAGGGGGGGGGGGGGTTCGAACCCGCAGTGACCCCCCCTTTTCATGATGAACTGGGGGGGTAGGGGTTCGAACCGGTAGTAACCCCTCCAATTTTCGAGGGGGAGGGGGACGGGTTGGGAACCCCCAGTGACCCCCTCCGGTTTTCCGCCAGCAGCGGTAGAACACGCTCTTTCTTACATAATACACACGACGAACACAAAGTACAAGATGTGAAAGAAAGCGTCGACGACGAAAACGAAGAACATGCCGGCTCTGTGATCCCGTAGACCGCGATGAAAAGGGTCGAAGCACAGCGAATAAAAGAGCAGACAGCCATCTGGATAACAATGCCCGCATCAGTCAAGATCAGGCTCATCCGACCCAGGGTCGATGAGTTCAAACCTCGTGCAGTCGAGGCCGCCAAAACCCGCAGACCGAGGAAGCGGCCCTCGGGGTCCAAGTCTCTGGCTGCTCGTATTGGCTGAGCTGCGCGACAACGAAAGCCGGGAACTTGTCTCCTCGTCTATGAGGCGTCCCTCTGGATGGTGAAGAACGGAATCGCTCCTGTGGCGCCTGCGGCCGTACTTGCACTCAAGTTCGACAGCATTGCCAGTCGGCGTCCCAGGGCTGGAGGCAAACGGAGATCGTCCACGACACGGCGACGAATCGTAGCGCGTACCCTCCAAACTTTCGACGCGGTTCGCCAGCCCGCGCATCCTGGCACGCAAAATGTTTGTGAGTTCCGTGACCGTGGCATGCTGCTCTTGCTCGGGGCCGCTGGGGAACTGTGTACTTTCGTCCAACCCTTTGCCGTGAATGATCAACACCTCCATCATGTTCGTGAGACGCTCTTCGATGCCAGGCATACATCATTTGCTGCATGTCGGAACAACCGCCTTTGCAAGCGAAAGCCCGATGCTAGCCAAAGCATCTCTGAAGGTACCATGAATCAAAGAGGGGATCCCGACGGCAGACACAGCAGCGTCGACAGCGCACGAAATCTTGGCATCGAGCTCGCCGTCGTACTCATAATTCTGCTTATGTATGGCCTTTGTGATACTGAGAAACGTGGGACGATGCAGACGACTGCGAAGAACCATCCGACGATGTGCTCTCGTCGTCATGGACGTTGGCAGCATCATCACCATTGGCTGCAGACCCAGCAGGCATATCAGCACGACGCTCGATTGCTCTAGTCCATTTGGCAATCGAATCAGTCTGTGCAGAAGCAAGCTCTTGGTAAGAGGCCAGTTGTCCATCATACGCCTGCTGCGACAGAGACAACAACTCAGGCACAGACACCAAAGGCGCCACCGTGGGCTGAAACACCTGGTCGTGTGGGTCAAACTGACGCGCATCACGACTTCGAGCACGATAGTAACGAGGCGCCCGAGTGCGTGGCTGAATAGAACGATAAGGATAACGCTGCCTTCAATTCATTTCCAGCGAACTCGTAAACTCGTCTGCCCACTGCATGGGGTGGTGCCTAGCAAATTTGTATGCGATGCCGATGTGATTCAAGCGTCTTCGCGTAGAATTGGACAAAGCATGACGATGGGCGTGTGCACCCACCTGCAACCCGGTGAACAAGCGATCAGCATACTCCGCAAGAAGACGCATCGCACGGCCAGATAAACACGAGAGATGTCCACTGACGACGTCCATAAAGAAGAACACATGCAGCAGCGCGTACAAATACAAAATGCAAGACCAAGTAATCAACACATGCCTAGGCTCGCTTCAGCCGCAGGTCCAAAGATGCCGTCTTGAGCCGCAACGGCTACGGAGGAGGAGGAGAAGGAGGAGGAGGAGGAGGAGCGAGGAGGAGGAGGAGGACGAGGAGGAGGAGCGGAGGAGAGGAGGAGGAGGAGGAGGGGAGGAGGATAAGGAGAAGAAGAAGGAGGAGGGGAGGAGGAGAAGGATGAGATGATGATGATGATGATGATGATGATGATGATAGGAGATAGGAGAGGAGGAGGAGGAAGGGGAGGAGGAGGCGGGACAATGAGGGTATGAGGCATTCGGAGGAGGATGCGGTATGAGGAGAGGAGGCGGACGGGAGAGGAGGCGGGCGGAGTAGGAGTGGAGGAGGAGGAGGCGCGTGATGGAACACCTCCTTCTGGCCGCCGCCCCACGACCACCCAGCTGCGCCCTCGCCGTGCTGCTGCTGGTGGCTGCCGCGGCCCACCCACTGCTGCGGTGCGCCCGTGGCGGGCGCCCCGGCCGGCGGCGGCGGGCCCGCGCCGCGCCACGCCCACGTCCTCGTCGACGCCTGCTGGTGGGCGGCTTTTCCGCACTACCATTAGGCAGAACGAGGGGAGAAGGAAGCCCTCCTCCTCCTCCTCCTCCTCCTCCGCTCCTCCTCCTCCTCCTCCTGCTCCTGCTCCTCCTCCTCCTCCTCCTCCTCTCCTCCTCCTCGCCCTCCTCCTCTTCCTCCTCCTCCTCTCCTCCTCCTCCTCCTCCTCCTCCTCCTCCTCCTCCTCCTCCTCCCTCTCCTACCTACTGGTAGTGGCAGTGGAAAATCGGCCCATCACCTGCCAATACCACTCGCCGGGGCTGCGCCCCTGCTGCGCCCACCGCTGCGGCTGCTGCTTCTGCTGCTGCTGCCGCGGCTGCTGCTGCTGTTGCTGCTGCTGCCGTGGCTGCTGCTGCTGCTGCTGCGGCTGCCGACTCTGCTGCGGTGCCGCAGGTGCCGAGGACGCGACTGGCTGCGGCGCTGGCAGGCCCTCGCTGCGAAGCCAGCCAGGCTTCGGCAGGAGGAAGCCGGCCTCCTCTGGGCTGGCTGGCGCGGCGGCGCCCACCTCGCGCGCCGCCTCCCGGAAGAAGAGGAGCAGCTCGCGCTCGAGAGGCGCGGCGTCCTCGGGCGCTGCCTCGCGGCCCGACGAGAAGAACTGCGCCTCCTCCAGCCGCGCCTTCGGACTCGGCAGCACCACCACCGAAGGCTGGCCCAGGCAACGCCACGGGGGGGTCACCACGAGGGGGGTCGCCTCCTCCTCATCCTACTCCTCCTCCCCCTCCTCCTCCTCCTCCTCCTCCCCCTCCTCCTCCTCCTCCTCCTCCTGTCCCCTCCTCCTCCTCCTCCTCCTCCCCCTCCTCCTCCTCCTCCTCCTCCTCCTCCTCCTCCTCCTCCTCCTCCTCCTCCTCCTCCTCCTCCTCCTCCAGGAGTCCCATGCGGGCGAGCGAGCGTCCCCGGCACCAGACGTCGCGCGAGCAGGGAAAAGAGAAAGGCTGTCGCAGGATGCCTTCGGCAGCCGCTCCAAGCCGTCACTGCCAGCTCCCAGTCACGCACTGCGCAGCCCTCAGCTCGCTCAAACACGTCCACAAAGCCTCCTCGATCCTCGACTTCCAAGAGGAGGCGGTGACCCCTCTGGTGCCGATGATGTCCAGAGCGCGTGTTGGCGCCAACGTGTGCTTGCCCACCGAAGCTCCTCGATACGACGCGGGCAGTGCAATCAGGCCCCACACAGGTTGCGTGCCATCGGCGAAACTGCATATGGGGCCAAACGCACATCGGGCCAACACACACACACACACACACACACACACACACATCGCGATGGTCCTCGACAGTGATGACACCCCCCTTGGCACTGCCTGCATGACCAGGTGGACCCCCGGCCGCCGAGGCAGTGCCCGCGACGCCCTCGGGGACGTTCCCGAAGCCGCCCTGGCGCTGCTGCGCCGCGACGGGGGTCCAGCCGAGGCCCGGCGGGTAGGCCTGGCCTGGCGTCGCCGGCGCCTGCTGCGGGAGCTGCACCGCGGGGAGGAGAAGGAGGAGGAGGAGGAGGAGGAGGAGGAGGAGGATGAGGAGGAGGAGGAGGAGAGGAGGAGGAAAGAGGAGGAGGGGGGAGGGAGGGAGGAGGGAGGGAGGAGGGAGGGAGGGAGGGAGGATGGAGGAGGAGGGAGGGAGGGAGGGAGGGAGGGGGGAGGGAGGGGGGAGGGAGGAAGGGAGGGGAGGGAGGGGGGATGGAGGAGGAGGAGGAAGGAGGAGGGAGGAGGAGGAGGCGGAGGAGGAGGAGGAGGAGGAGGGAGGAGGAGGAGGGAGGAGCAGGCGGGAGCTGCACCGCGCGGCTCCCGGCCGGCACGCTCCCAGGGGTGGCGAAGGCTGTCTGCGGGGCCCTCCCCGCGAAGACGGGGGTCCACCCCACGCCGGGAGGACGGCGGAGGCACAAAGGCGGCGGCACGAGCAGCGGCTTTCTCGGAGGCCCGCGCGAAAGGAGCCTCTTGGACCGGCGCTGGGCGGTGGCCCCTCTGGGCGGTGCCTCTGGCGCCGCCCCGGGCGGGCGCTGGCCCGCCCCAGGGGGGGGGGCTCAGCGCCCCGCGTCTGTCCTCGGGTCGGGCATGTCCTCCCACAGGCGGGTTTTCGGGGGAAAAGGCAGCGATGGTCGAAAAATATCCCACAACAGTCAAGAAGAGTAGAAAAATCGTACCCTGACTATGTTTGACCATGTTTGAGTACTCCTCTGTAGAGGGACGTGCCCGACTTGCATCTGTCCAAGGAATCCGCGCGGACCTTCGAAAGGTTCTGCTGGTGCCGCCTTTTGTCCTTCGAGATAGGAGGCCGTGAGCGGCGAGGCGGCCGACGAGGCGCCAGACACCATGCGGCACCACGCCTGCGACGATGACGCCGACTGCGGGGTCGGCGGGGCCGTGGACACCGAGGAGAGGTGGCCCGTCGTGGACCTGACCAGCACGGGGGACGCCTGGGAGGTGGGCGTGCCTGCGCCGGCGCTGGGGACCAAACTGGTCGTCGCGGCGCGCTTCAGCAGGTGCAGGGTGGGATCGCCCTCGCCCGACGCCTGAAACTCGCAGCGTGCAATGGGTAGCTTGGGCGCGATCGCCTCCCCACTCAGTGGCGGAGGCAATGGCCGCGACATCTCGTGCACCCTTCTGGGCAACCGCGTGCGAACCCTACCCGGGCAGGTCTGATCTCTGAGACACCAGCGGGGGTCCAAGCTCGAGGGGTGTGCGCAGCTGGGCGAGCCCCAGCGGGGTGTCCGGTACCCGAGCGTCGACTGGACTCGCAAGGGTAGGGCCGCAAGCGGTCGCAGAGGGCAAGTAACGAGCCTCCTTCGAGCAAGAATGCCCGCTTGATCCAAAACGATTGCTACAGAGGACCCCAGGCAATGACAAGCGGGGGGCCACAACTGAGGTGTCGCCACCTCCTCCAGGCAACGGGCCCACCTGGGCCCCCGAAGAGCCGCCCCCCAGGGCTCCCGGAGGCGCCCGAACACGTCCAAACCCTCTCGATCCTCTGTCCTCCCTCCTCCTCGATCCTGTGATTTCCAGGAGGAGGTGGTGGCCCCCCTGCCAGTGACCGACCGCTGGGCATCGCTCGGAGGTCCATTCCCTGTGCTTTTGTTCGGTTTCGGGCGTGGCTTCGTCGCCAGATGATCAAGGATGCTCCTCGATGGTCCTCGCCGAAGGAAACATGCACACGTCCGAGCGATGCCAAGACCGCAGTACTGCCCAGGGGTCGGGGCAGGAGGGGCCTGACGCAGGACCGCCGGGGCAGCCGCGACGGTGCCCAGCGCGAGGCTGGGCGGGGCGAGCGCAGGCGCTGCAAGCGCGGTGTCGGGCAGTGCAGAGCGGGGGAGCTCCTTCTCTCCTCCTCCTCCTCCTTCTCCTCGTCCTCCTCCTTCTCCTCCTCCTCCTCCTCCTCCTCCTCCTCCTCCTCCTCCCTCTCCTCCTCCCTCCCTCCCTCCCTCCCTCCCCTCCCATCTCCTTCCCTCCCCTCCCCTCCTCCTTCTCCTCCCCTCCTCCTTCCTTCCTCCTCCTCCTCCTCCTCCTCTTCCTCCTCCTCCTCCTCCGCCTCCTCCTCCATTCCTTTTCATTATAAATAACTCCTCCCTGTCGCACCCCGAGGTCGGTCGAAAGGGCGGGCTGGGCGGTTCGTCTGAGACTTCCTCACCATGTAGGAGCCTGAAGCCTAAAAACGGGCAACGACTTCACAGATGGAGGGCGGGTCATTTTCAAAATGTGGCACTCTCGCCCTAGCGCCGCGCACATTCGTTTATTCAAGATTTGCATCAGTTCCACGGATTAAGGGTGGGTCGTTTTCAAAGTGTGTCTCTTGCCTTAATTTTAAGCTGTGCCATATCGTTTCGGATTGATCGCACGCCGTTTTCAAAATGTAGCTCTCGCATGAGCGCCGCGCGCACTCGTTGATTAAAAACTGTGCAAGAGTTTCACGGATTGAAGGCGGGTCGTTTTTTTGAAAGTGTGGCTGTCGCCTTAGCGCCGCGTACATTCGTTATTCAATTTGTAAGAGCCTCACGGATTGAGGGCAGGTCGTTTTCAAAAGTTGGTTCTCGCCTTAGCGCCGCGAGCATTATTTAAAATAACTGCCAGATCTTCACGGATTGAGGGCGGGTCATTTTCAAAATGTGGCTCTCGCCTTAGCGCCGCGCACGTTCGTTCTAACAACTTGCAAGAGCTTCACATATTGAGGGTGGTTCGTTTTCAAGATGTGGCTCTCGCCTGGGTGCCGCGCACATTCGTTTTTATACTAAAACTTTGCAAGAACTTCAATGGTTGAGGGCGGCTCCTTTTCAAATCGTGGCTCTCGCCTCGGCGCCGCGCACATTCGTCCTAAGCATTCGCAAGCATGTCATTGATTCTCGTGTTCTACGTACCAGCAATTGTGTATAGAAGCGGCTCAGAATTGTCATGGCGCAACAGTTCAGTTGATTCGCGGTGCTGAGGTCCCAGGAGCGATGTCCTGTCACGGTCCAGGATCGCCATGACGTGGCAGTCCGGTTAACTCGTGGCGTTGAAGTCATGAGACTGTTTTTTGGGTACGCTTCAGGACTTTCACACGGTTGTCCCCCAACGGGACAATTCCATCAGTGGAGCTGATCCTTGTAGGGGCCTACGGAGAAGGAGTTCGGAGGGAGGGTGTATTCCAACATCGTTTGTGAGTCTTGGGTTTACGCTGGTCCTCTCCTCCTCCTCCTCCTCCTCCTCCTCCTCCTCCTCCGCCCTGGCCTTGGACTTGCGCTGCGTGTGAGATAATACTGGTTGGCGAGGGGGTGCGCACGGACACCGCCCCTCCCTGCTTGTGGGATTCGGGTGTCATCCCTGTCTTCTCATGCTGGCTTGCCTGTTTTCTGGTGCCCGAAATCCTCCTCCTCCTCCTCCTCCTCCTCCTCCTCCTCCTCCTCCTCCTCCTCCTCCTCCTCCCCGTTGTGATCCTCATCGTGCTCCTCCTCGTGTTCTGCTGCTCCTCCTCGTGTTCTGCTGCTCCTCACGCCCCGTCGTGATCCTTCCTCTGCTGATCCTCCTTCTGCTGACTCTCTTCTTCGTTCTCTTCCTCCTCCTCCTCCTCCTCCTCCTCCTCCTCCCACTGCTATTCCTACTCCTCTTGCTGCTGCTCCTGTTGTTCCTCTCCTCCTGCTCCATCCTCCTCCTCCTCCTCTTCCTCCTTCTCCTTCTCCTCCTCCTCATCATTATGGCCATCACCACCACCACCATATCGCCATCAGCATCATCATCACCATTATCTTCCCCATCCACATCCACATCCTCATACAAAGCATCCTGATCACCATCCTCATCGTCATCATCCTCATCCTCAGCATCATAATCCTCATCATTCGCATCGTCGTCGTTATCATCATATTCTTCGTCATCATATTTATCATACTCATCATCATCACCATCATCATCATCTCATCAGCGTCATCATCAACGTTACCATCATCGTCATCATAGTCGTCGTTGCAATCATCTTCGTCAATCTCATCCTCGTTCTCATCCTCGTCCTCTTCTTCATCCTCCTCATCCACCACTACAACCGCCACCATCCTCATCCGCATACTCATCATCATCACCATCATCATCAACATCACCAGCATCGTCATCACCACCATCACCATCAGCATAATCACCATCAGTAGCAGCATTCTCGGCAACATCAACATAATCATCATCATCGTCATCATCAGCAGCATCATCATTTGCATCACCATCATCATCCTCATCCAAAGCATCATCATCATCATCACCATCCTCATCCCATCAACATCATCGTCGTCGTCATCACCATCACCCCCAGTATTACCATCATAATCATCACCATCGTAATTACATACATTACCCTGTGACGTGCCGAACCCATTTGCATCAAGTGACAAGAGGAGTTGGCCCAAACTTTCCAGGACAATGACAGCGCAGGCGCCGCTGTATTCTGTGCAAGCTACATGGGATGCGCTCACATGGCACGATTCACAAGACAACAACAGAAAGACGAGGAGCGAAGGTCCAGGCTTGAGGAGGGCATGGGGGCAGGAACGAAGGGCATGATAAGACGCGCGGGTGGGGCGGGGGGGAGCGGGCGACCTGTCAGCGCGGCAGCAGCAGAGGGAATGTGACAAGGGGCAGAAGACCACGACGAACGTGACGGGAGGAAGCCGGAGAGTGTTGCGTTTGCCGGAGAGTGTCAGCGCTGCCTGCACCATGTCGCCGCGCCGCTCGACAAACTGATTAAACCTGCGCGTAGTGTGTGCAAAAAGCGAGCGAGGCCTAGATCGCCCGCCAACTTCCCTGCTTCCTTCCTGCACTCTTCAGTGCGGGAGCTAAACGCTCAAAGGCGCGCCACCAGGTTTGCGGGCGGCCCGCGACAGCGCCCCGCTGGACCCCAGGCAGCCCTCGAAAATGACGACTGTTTCGCAGATCGCAGCCCCCCCAGGGATGGCGAGGTCTTTTCTGGGTTTACGTGGGACGTCACGCCGCTGGACCCAGCAGCCCTCGAAAGTGGCGGCAGTTTCGCAGATCGCAGCCCCCCCAGGGATGGCGAGGTCGAATCTGAGTCTGCGTGGGACGCTACCCCGCTGGACCCCCCGGCAGCCCTCGAACGTGGCGACAGTTTCGCAGAGCGCAACCCCCAGGGACGGCGAGGTCGAATATGAGTCTGCGTGGGACGTCACTCCGCTGGACCCCCTGGCAGCCCTCGAACGTGGCGACGGTTTCGCAGAGCGCAGCCCCTCCAGAAGTGGCCAGGTAGGGGGCAAGCTGGCACGCAGGAGTGAGCGAGGCGAGAGGCAGGAGCGAAGGGGAAAGGTGAGAGGACAGGACGGAAGGCGGGAGGTGTGCGACCGCAGTGCTCTACTCAAAGCGAGAACCCAACGCAGGAGGGTTGCAGAATAGCGACCATGAAAACATAAGGAATATCAATGGTAATAATGATGATATGAATAATAATTCTGATACTAACACATAATAACCAGAATGACAATCATATCGACAATGACAATGGCAGTACTACTGAAAATCGGAGGTTGAGGGGTGAGATCGCAGTGGAACGGAGACCCCCAATCGGGAAATCGTTTCGTCTCGTTCGTGTCGCGCGTGCGGGCGAGGCGAAGCTGCGTGGGCGCGCGAGAGGAATGAACCCGCCGTTGCTAGGGCGCAAGCAAGACAAATGATTCTCCACCGTCCGTCCGTCCGTCTGGCGGTGGCCCTCAGTGTCCCGCGGTGTCCCGTGGTGTCGTGCGTCCGTCCGGCGGTGACCCTCGGTGTCTCGCGGTGTCCCGTGGTGGCCCGTGGTGTCCCGTGATGCCCGCCGTTGCTAGGGCGAACTCAAGACAAATGATTCTCCCCCGTCCGTCCGTCTGTCCGGCGATGACCCTCGGTGTCCCGCGGGGTCCCGTGGTGTCCCGTGGTGTCCGCCGTTGCTAGGGCGAAGTCAAGACAAGTGATTCTCCCCCGTCCGTCCGTCCGGCGGTGGCTCGCGGTGTCCCGCGGTGTCCCGTGGTGTCCCGTGCTGTCCGCCGTTGCTAGGGCGAAGTCGACACAAATGATTATCCCCCGCCCGCCCGTCCGTCCGTCCGTCCGTCCGGCGCTGGCTCGAGGTGTCCCGCGGTGTCCCGTGGTGTCCCATTGAGTGAGATCGATAGTGAGATCGATAGTGAGATCGATATGGTGCGCCGAGGTGTCCCGTGGTGTCCCGTTGAGTGAGATCGATAGTGAGCTCGACAGGTGTCCCGTGGTGTCCCGTTGAGTGAGATCGATAGTGAGATCGATACTGAGATCAATGTGGTGCCCCGAGGTGTCCCGTGGTGCCCCGTTGAGTGAGATCGATAGTGAGATCGTGTCCCGTGGTGTCCCGTTGAGTGAGATCGATAGTGAGATCGATGTGGTGTCTCGAGGTGTCCCACGGTGTCCCGCGGTGTCCTATGGTGTCCCGCTGAGTGAGATCGAAAATGAGATCTATAGTGATATCGATAGTGAGATCGAGTGGTGTCCCGCGGTGTCCCGCACTGTCCCGTGGTGTCCCGTGGTGTCCCGTTGAGTGAGATCGATAGCGAAACCGATACTGAGATCGACAAGTGTGCCGTGGTGTCCCGTGGTGTCCCGTTGAGTGAGATCGGTAGTGAGATCGATTCAGTCAGATGTTGGTTTCCCCCCCTTCTCCCCCCCCACAACCTCCTTATCACCCGGAGGGTGGTCGTATAGATAATAATCAAAGGCAGCAGCGTGGAATAGGGATTCCCCGCTGCAATGTCCCGGCGGAGAACCGCGGGCCACGCAGGGGCTCGTCGTCGGGCCCTCCGCCAGTGGTTCCTCCTTCTTCTCCTTGTCGTCCCCCGCCCCCTGCCCCCCCCCAGCCCATCCCCCTGCTGTTGCTCAGTCTTCCTCCTCGCCCTCGTCGTCGTCCTGGTCGTCGTCGTCGTCGTCGTCGTCGTCGTCGTCGTCGTCCCCCTCCTCCTCGCCCGGTTGCGGTTGCGGTTGCGCGCCCGCGCGCGCTTTGAAATGTGTCGCCCAGGTTGCGGTTGCGGTTGCGGTTGCGCGCTCCCGCTGGCGCTTTGAAATGTGTCGCCCGGTTGCGGTTGCGGTTGCGCGCCCGCGGGCGCTTTGAAATGTGTCGCCCGGTTGCGGTTGCGGTTGCGGTTGCGCGCTCCCGCGGGCGCTTTGAAATGTGTCGCCCGGTTGCGGTTGTTGGGTTGCGGTTGCGCGCCCGCGGGCGCTTTGAAATGTGTCGCCCGGTTGCGGTTGCGGTTGCGGTTGCGCGCTCCCGCGGGCGCTTTGAAATGTGTCGCCCGGTTGCGGTTGCGGTTGCGCGCCCGCGGGCGCTTTGAAATGTGTCGCCCGGTTGCGGTTGCGGTTGCGGTTGCGCGCTCCCGCGGGCGCTTTGAAATGTGTCGCCCGGTTGCGGTGCGGTTGCGGTTGCGCCCGCGGGCGCTTTGAAATGTGTCGCCCGGTTGCGGTTGCGGTTGCGGTTGCGCGCTCCCGCGGGCGCTTTGAAATGTGTCGCTGGGTTTGCGGTTGCGCGCCCGCGGGCGCTTTGAAATGTGTCGCCCGGTTGCGGTTGCGGTTGCGGTTGCGCGCTCCCGCGGGCGCTTTGAAATGTGTCGCCCGGTTGCGGTTGTTGGGTTGCGGTTGCGCGCCCGCGGGCGCTTTGAAAAGCTGTCCCCTGACGTTCAGTCAGTCATCAGTCAGCCGGCGGGCACGGAATTTCACCCGGCTCGGCCGGGAATAAGAATAATAACAAGTATAATGACAGATTGATAATACAATCATACTGAGAACAGGGAGCATCATCATCAACATCATCAGCATCATCGTCACCATCATCATCACCCTCATCATCCTCATCATCCTCACGATCATTATCACCGCCATCATCGTCGTCATCGTCATCGTCATCATCATCATCATCATCATCATCATCATCATCATCATCATCATCATCATCATCATCATCGGCTGTCCGTCTTCCTCCTCCTCCTCCTCCTCCTCATCATCATCATCAACACCATTACCAGCATCATCATCGACACCATCGTCGTCATCCTCATCCTCATCCTCATCATCATCACAATGACCATCGCCATCGCCATCACCATCATTATAACTACCATCCTCATCCTCATCGTCATCCTCATCCTCATCATCCTCATCGTCATCGTCATCGTCATCATCATCATCATCACCCTCATCATCCTCATCCTCATCCTCATCCTCATCATCATCACCATCACAATCACCATTATCACCATCACTATCACCATCACAATCACCATCACCTTCACCATCATCATCATCATCATCATCATCATCAGCATCAGCATCATCATCATTATCAGATTCATTATCATAATCGTCATCATCACCACCATCATCATCACTCATGTCATCCTCATTCACATACCCCTCCTCTTCATCAGGTGACCAGGTCGTTTGGTCCTCCAGCTCCCTGTATGCTGCATCCAAGAACTCGTTGCTCTCCAACACCACCTCGGAGAGGGGAAGGAGGCGGAGGAGGGGACGGGCGTGGAGCACTGCATGGGAGGGGGAGGTAGACGAGGAGGAGAAGTGACAGGGCGAGAAAAGCGGCCAGGAGAAGCCAGGAGGAGCCAGCAAAGGCCGGAAGGAGCCAGGTGGGATTATGGAGAAGCCGGCCGGGACGATGAAGAACCCAAGAGGGAGGAGGGGAGGAAGAATGATAGACGAAGGCAAGGAGGATGTTTTCCGCTGGAGCGCACAATTGCTGCGCATGGCCCGGGCTACAGGCTACTAAGCCAGATGCTGGTCGTCATCCATCGTGCAGGTGGCTCCCTGTTTCAGCGAGGGGAAACCTCGAATGCTCACGTCGGGGTCGGGGCAGACCTGGGGCGTCGTCGGCGCAGAACTCTGGGGAGGCTTGTGGAAGACGTCGATGGTCAAGTCCTGCCTGCGGCGCCAGGCGGCGTGTAGGATGCCGTCGTTGCGTGGGGTGGACTTGTTCGGCGGGGAGGGAGGGCGGGAGGGAGGGAGGGAGGGAGGGAGGAGGAGGAGGAGGAGGAGGAGGAGGAGGAGGAGTTGGTGATTCGTCCCTCTGGTGCATCACTCTGGCACCAGGAGGCTGGAAGGACACACGGCTGCACTCACACGTGCGAAGCATCCGAAGGCCACGCGCTGCAGACACACGTGCGGAAGCCCATGACCTGCACGGCCACAGACGGGCCGAGCGCTGGCGAAACGTCCGGACACACGTGTATCCAGCTCTCGCCCACGCTGGCTTCGTCATCAGTATCCAACGTGGGTGAGGTGAAACGCTTCGACGTCTAGCTGGGCAGCCCATTTGATCCACAAGTGTTGGGTTCGCACCTGATGCCAATCATCGCGAAGCGGATCCCGTCCTGCGCGATGTGCCGCATATTCTTCCACGATGCTTTTCCCATGCAACGCTTCACATGATATATCTGCATATGTGTATATATATATATACGTATGTATATGTATGTATACGTGTGTACATTCTCTCCTTTCGCTCCTGCTCCTGCCCTTCGTCCTCCTTCTGCTCCTCCTCGTCACCACATCGGGCTCCTGCTGCTGCTGCTGCTGGTCTCGATCCTGCGATTCCCCCTGGCCCTCTTGCTCCTGCTCCTCCTCCTGCCTCTTCTTACTGTACGCCTTCTCCTTGATCCTGCGGCACATCCTGTTCCTAATTCCTGCGCTGATCCTGCACCTCCTCCTCCGCCTCCGCCTCCTCCTCTTCCTCCTCCTCCTCCTCCCGTCCCTTCTGCTGGTCCTCTCCACTCTCCTGCGTGTCATCCTTCCTCCCCCCGTTTCTGCTACTGTTCCGCATCCTTCTTATCCCTTCTCGCCCTCTCCCTCTCCCCTCCCTCTCTCTCTCTCTCTCTCCCTTTCCCTATCCTTCCTGCGACTCCTCATTTCTCCTCCTCCTCCTTCTTCTTTTCATCCTCACCATCTCTATCACAATCACCACCACCACGATCACCATAACCATCACCATCGCCATCATCGACGTCGGCGACAGTAGCAGCAGCAACTTCATAATCAGTATCCTAAGCATTATCAGAATCACCACCATCACCAACAACCTCACCATCACCATCAGCATTAACATCACAATTACCACCACCATCAGCATCAGCATCAGCATCAACATCATCAACGCCAATATCAGTATCTATAATCGGCTTGACCGCAAAAGCCGCCTCCACTCACATCTCTTTAGTCCCTGCCGATGGAGCCTCATTCTATGCAGATGCCTGTAGCACATGTCATGCCTGAACATTGGGATTCCGAGCTGAGAGAGATCGCCTGTCCCCGGCAAGGCTGCCAGCCGGAGCCTGGACACTTTGGTGGATAATGAATCTGTTGCAATGGGTTCCCACGTCTCCCCGAAAGCCGCGATCTCCCAGTCGCCGCTCCCTTGGGAGACGCGGAGAGTAAAGCCGCCCGCGCTCCGCCCGCACCCGCGCCACCCGAAGTCCGAGTAAGCCAAACAATCGTGTGACGCAGCTAACAATTCACCAATGCATAGGTGGAGGCATAAGGCTTCCCGGCCTGCATCTAAACCTGCATTACTCAAGCGATCATCCTCTTGATTATGATGGCGTGGGCCGCGACAAGGGAGGAGCCTCGATCGGGTCCAGAGGTCTCCACCCATCGGTCACGCTCTGGAGCAAACAATCAGCGAGAGGCGAAAGTTGAGTGAGGAAGGATCGGGCCAGGACGAATCGGAGGAAAGGCGAGGAGGAATGATAACAAAAACAGGCGGCCCTCAGAAACGAAAAAAGTGTCATGCCCGAAGTTCCAGTCGCCGGTGCCCGCCATGGTCGTTTACTGTGTCTCCCAGCCTCCACCTTCCCCTCCTCAATCTCCCCCTGGTCCTCCGACATCTTGCGTTTAGCGTGGGTCCCCCGTGTATCGCCCAGAGGAGTCGCAGCTAGTTCTGGAACCAGGTTACGGTGGACGGATACATCTCTGTTCCAACCAGGGAGGTGCCGTTTGATGCGAAGACGATAGATGAAGGACCGCTCTTGGTTCTTCCACTCCCTGGCGCCATTCACCACCATGATTTCCCAATTACATAAGAACGGCCGCGTCCCAGAAGTCCTCTGGCTGCTGGGCAGAAGGGCCCGGCCTACGATGCCGCCACTCCCCTGCCTCATCTCGGCGCAGACTGAGGGTCTAAGCAGCGCATGCCTGTGCCGTAACCCAGTGATCACCTCTACGGTATAGAGACAGCTGGCGAATGGACAACTCTGGGACGACTCTGGTGTACTTGGCTTGTCGGAGCCGAACTGCATGGACAGAATCATCATCATCATCATCATCATCATCATCATCATCATCATCATCATCATCATCATCATCATCATTATCATCATCATCATCATCAGCAGCGTCATCACCACCATCATCATCATCATCATCATCATCGTCGTCATCATCATCTTCATTTGCATCATCAGCAGCATCATCAGTAACAGCATCTGAATCAACATCAACACAATCATCGTCAGCATCATCATGATCCTCATCAAAATCGTAACCATCACCATCACCATCATAATTATCATCATCACCACCACTATCATCAGCAGCGTCGTCATTAGCATCGTCATCAGCAGTTTCACCATCATCATCATCATCATCTTCATCATCATCATCACCATAGTCGTCATCATCATCACCACCATCAACATCACCATCATTATCATCATCACCATCATCATCATTTTCATCATCATCATCATCATCATCATCATCATCATCATCATCATCATTGTCAGCATCATAATCAGCATCATCAACGTCATCATCATCATCTGCATCACGGTTATCAGAAACATCAGCATCGTTATCATATGAACATCATCATTATCATCATCGTCGTCGTCGTCGTCCTCGTCGTCGTCATCACCATCATCATCATCATATTCATCGCCATCACATTCACAATCACACATGTCATCATCATCTGTATCACCATCATCATCAATAACATCGTCATCATCAACAACATCGTCATCATCTGCACCACCATCATCACGTTCACCACTATCATCAGCAACATCGTCATCACCATCATCATCATCATCATCATCATCACCGTCGCCATCACCATCACCAGCATCATCGTCGCCATCATCATCTTCTTCGCCATCATCGTTATCATCATACTCATCCGCATCTCTGTCATCATCCTCATCGGTATTGTCATCACTATAAACATCGCCATTCACATCATCATCGTGATCGTCGCCGTCGTCGTCCTTGTCGTCCTCGTTGTGGTCGCCATCGTCATCATCGTCACCATCGCCACAGCAATCACAATCAGAAACTTCTTCTCACCATCATCATCGTCGTCATTATCTTCATCACATCCATCATCAGCATCACCAACATCATGATCATCATCGTCGCCACCATCGTCATCATCCTCATCATCATCGTTGCCATCACCATTACCATCAACATCACCACCATCACCAGCAGCATCGTCATCATCACCATCATCACCCTACCGTCGCCATCATCATCATTTTTACCACCATCATAAGAAGCAGCATCATCATGATCGTCGCCACCACCACCATCATCACGTTCACCACCATCATCAGCAACATCGTCATAATCATCATCATCATCGGCATCATCATCGTCGTCATCACCATCACCGCCATCATCAGCAGCATCGGCATCATCATTATCATCATCATGATCGTCACCATCATCATCACCATCACAACCATCATCAGCAGCATCGTCATCATCATCATCGTCGCCACCGCTATCACCATGAACATCACCGTCACCACCATTATGAGCAGCACCGTCATCGTCATCATCATCATCATCTTCTTCATCCTCACCGTCGCCATAACCATGACCATCGTCACCATCACCACCATCATCAGCAGCATCGTCATTATCGTCGCCACCATCGTCGTTATCACAATCAGCATCGCCATTATCATCAGCAGCATCGTCGTCATGATCATCATCAACATCACCACCATCGTCATCATCACCATCATCATCATCAGCATAGTCGCCATTACCGTCATCATCCTCATCATCATCGTCACCATGACCATCACAACCATCATCAGCAGCAGCATGATCATCCTCGCCTTCGCCGTCACCATTACCACCACCATCTCCATCACCACCATCATCAGCATTACCAGCATCATCAGCATCGTCCTCGTCATCGTCGCCGCCGACATCACTATCACCATCACCATGACCACCATCATCACCAGTATTACCATGATCACCGCAAGTATCCTCGCCATCACCATCACCATCGCCACCATCATGAGCAGCATGAGCAGTATCTTCATCATCATCATCATCGTCATCATCATCGTTGTCATCACCATCACCACCATCATTGGCATCGTTGGCATCATCATCAGCAGCAGCATCGTCATCGTCGCCACCACCATCATCACCATCACCAACATCAACAGCAGCATCATCACCATCATCATCATCATCATCTTCATCAGCAGTATCTGCATCATCATCATCATCGTCGCCACCGCAATCACCATCACCATCGCAACCATCATCAGCAACATCGTCATCGTCATCATGATCACCATCATCACCAGCAGCAGAAACAGCATCACCATCACCATCACCAACCATCAGCAGCAGCATTGTCATCGCAATCATCGTCATCATCATCATCGTCACCAACACAATCACCGTCACCACCATCATCAACAACATCATGATCATCATCATCATCATCATCATCATCATCATCATCATCATCATGGTCGCCATCACCATCACCAGCACAATCAACATCACGACCGTCACCAATCGTCACCACCATCGTCGTCGCAATCATCGTGGCCATCACCCTCACCAGCATCATCATCAGCGGCGGCATCACCATCACCACCATCACCACCATCATCAGCAGCATCACCACCATTATCAGCAGCGGCATCGTCATCGTCACCATCATCGTCGCCATCACAATCACCATCACCATCGCCACCAGCATCAGCAGCAACATCATCATCGTCGCCATCACCATCACAACCACCATCAACAGCATCGCCACAATCCTCCGCATCATCGCCACCATGACCATCACCATCCCCATCACCACTCTCATCAGCAACATCGTCAGCATCATCATCGTCGTCGCCATCACCATCACCATCACCATGACCAACCATCATCCGCAGCATCACCATCATCATCATCATCCCCATCTTCACCATCATCACCACCATCGTCATCGTCATCGTCACCCTCATCATCATCATCATCATCATCACCATCATCATCATCGTCGCCATCAGCATCACCATCACCATCACCACCATAATCAGCAGCATCGTCATCACCATCATCATTATCATCATCATCATCATCATCATCATCATCATCATCATCATCATCGCCATCACAATCACCATCATCGTTGCCATCACCATCACGATCATCACCATCATCAGCAGCAGCACCATCACCATCACCATCACCATCACAATCATCATCATCATCATCATCATCATTATCATCATCATCATGATCGTAGCCATCACCACCACCATCACCATCACAACCACCATCAGCAGCATCATCGTTATTATCATCATCAGCATCCTCATCGTCGCCATCACCATTACCATCAACATCACCACCATCACCAGCAGCATCGTCATCATCATCATCATCAGCATCATCATCGTCGTCGTCATCGCCGCCATCACCATCACTATCAAGATCACCACCATCATCAGCAGCATCGTCATCATCATCAGTGCCATCATCATCACCATCACCATCACCACCATCATCATCATCAAGCAGCATCGTCATCATCATCATCATCAATATCACCATCATCATCATCATCATCGTCGCCATCACAATCACCACCATCACCGTCACCATCACCACCAGCATCAGCAGCATCGTAATCGTCGTCACCATCATCGTCGCCATTACCATCACCATCACCATCACCATCAGCATCACCATCATCATCATCAGCAGCATCATCATCCCAATCCCCGTCCTCATCCTTATCATCAGCATCATGATGAACAGCATCATCATCATCATCATCATCATCATCATCATCATATTATCATCATCGTCATCATCATCATCATCCTCATCATCATCATCAACATCATCATCATCATCATCATCAAAATCATCCTCATCCTCATCCATATCCTCATTCTCATCCCTCCTCATCCCCCCCTCCCCGCAACGAGGAGGCTCCCCTCCCAGCCCCGGCCGCCTGGAGCGACTGCTCCTCCTGCGCCAGCATGCGCTCCAGCAGCGACAGCTCCTGAGGGCCCAGGGCCGCGCGAGGACGGGCGCCGCCGCGAGCGAGCAGCGGAGAATGCAGCAGAGGCCGCGAAGGAGCGCCGATGGCCCACAGAGGATGAAGAGAAGTGGAGGAAGAGGGGGAGTGGGGGGAGTGGGGAGGAGTGAGTGAAGGGGGGGAGCAGTGACGGGGGGGAGTGGGGAGGACAGAGAGGAATGGGGAGGGGGGGCGGAGCAGGAGGAGGAGGAGGAGGAGGAGGAGGAGGAGCAGGAAGAGGGAGGGGGAGGGGGAGGAAGAGGAAAAGGAGGAGGAGGCGGAGGGTGCCCAAGGAGGAGGAGGAGGAGGAGGAAGAGGAGGAGAAAGGGGAGGAGGAGGAAGGGGACGGAGAGGCGGAAGAGGAGAAGCGAGGAGGAAAGAGGAGGAGCGGGAGCAGGAGCAGAGCAGCAGGCCGCCGTGGTTCGCCGCGACGCCGGTTGACCACTGGCTGACCTGGCTGTGGCGGCGTGGATCCGGCCAGCTGGTATGCGACTGCCGGCTTGTGGAGCTTTCTCACGGCCTGCGCCAAGAGAAGGAGGAGGAGGAGGAGGAGGAGGAGGGAAGGGGGAGGAGGAGGAGGAGGAGGAGGAGGAGGAGGAGGAGGAGGAGGAGGAGGAAGAGAAGGAAGAGGAGGAGGGAGGAGGAGGAGGAGGAGGAGGAGAGGAGGAGGAGGACGAGGAGGAGGAGGAGGGAGGGAGGAGGAGGAGGAGGAGAAAGAGGAGGGCCTCTGGATGGTGCTCGCACCTTGGGCTGCCGAGGAGCGGTCGCTCGGGCCTGGCCTCGCCTGCCCCAACATCCTGCGACATCGCTGACTGGGCGGGTCATCGATGCCCGGGCATCTTCGTTCAACATCTTCGGTCAAGGAGGCAAGCATGCGCATGAGGAGGAGGAGGGAGGAGGAGGAGGAGGAGGTGGAGGAGGAGGATGAGGAGGTGGAGGAGGCAAGCATGCGCATGCTTCGCCTCCATATCTCCGTTCCATCGTGCCCAAGGGCCGCCCCCTCGGAGGAGGGCAACAGCTCTGGCCCAGACCGAGCCGCAAGAAGCGCCACCATCTTCGCCTCCCCGCAGGAAGGCCCGCCCTCCAGCGGGGGATCCGAAATCAAGGAGGCCAAGAGAGAGGAAGATCCTTGGACAAACCAACAAGCAAATCACATCGAACCATCGGACCCGTAAGTAGGGTCAGAAAAAATGAGGCAATCAAAGAGAACCTAGAACATGGTCCCCTTGTCACTCCAGCAGGCAAACGGACATCGCACTATACTCGACCCCCCAATGACCAAGATTAAATATCAAACAAAATCCGGATGCCGACACATGTTACTTGCACTGTACTCGTAGTCGTAGTCGTAGCAGTAGTAGTAGTAGTAGTAGTAGTAGTCGTAGTAGTAGTAGTAGTAGTAGTAGTAGTAGTAGTATAGTAGTAGTATAGTAGTAGTAGTAGTAGTAGTAGTAGTAGTAGTAGTAGTACCAGTAGTAGTACCAGTAGGAGCAGTAGTAGTAGTAGTAGTAGTCGTCGTAGTAGTAGTAGAAGTAGCACTAGTAGAAGTAATGACAGTCGTCGTCGTAGTAGTAGTAGTCGTCGCCGTAGTAGTAGTAGTAGTAGTAGTAGTAGTGGTAGTAGTAGTAGTAGTAGTAGTGGTAGTAGTAGTAGTGGTAGTAGTGGTAATGGTAGTGGGGGTGGTAGTTGCATTAAGAGAAGTAGTAGTAGTAGTAGTAGTAGTAGCAGCAGCAGTAGTAGTAGTAGTAGTAGTAGTAGTAGTAGTAGTAGTAGTAGTCGTAGTAGTAGTAGTAGTAGTAGTAGTAGTAGCCGTGGTGGTAGTAGTAGTAGTAGTAGGAGGAGGAGGAGGAGGAGTAGTAGAAATATTTCTAGTAGTAGTAGTAGTAGCAGTAGGAGTAGTAGTAGTAGTAGCATTCGTCGTCGTCGACATTGTCACCGTAGTCGTAGTCGTAAGTAGTAGTAGTGGTAGTAGTAGTAGTAGTAGTAGTAGTAGTGGTAGTAGCAGTAGTCGTAGTAGTAAAAGTCGTAGTTGTCATAGTAGTAGAAGTCGAAAAAGTACATGTAGTTGTTGTAGTAGTAGTACTGATGGTCGTTCTTATAGCAAAACATACCAGTAGTAGTTGTGATAGTAGTAGCAGTCATAAGAATCATAGAAACATTACTAGTAGTAACAGTAGTCGTCGTAGTCGTAGCCGCACTAGCAGGAATAGTAGTAGCAGTCGTCGTCGTAAAAAGGAAAAATAGTAAGCATAGTAATCATCGTCGTAATAGCAACAGTAGTAGTAGTCGTCGTAGTAGTACTAATACGAACAGTAGCATTAGCATTGGTATCACTAGTGGTAGTAGGAGTAGTAGTAGTGATAGTGCTAGTAGTAGTAATAACAATAGTAGTAGTCGTGGTAGTTGCTCAATAGAAGTAGAAAGACAAGTGGTAGTAGTAGTAGTAGTAGTAGTAGTAGTTGTTGTTGCCGTAGTAGTGATAGAAATAGTAGTGGTAGTAGCAGTAGTAGTAGAAGAAGTAGTAGTAGTAGGAGTAGTAGTAATAGTAAAAGAACTGCTCCTGCTACGATTATGACTGCTACTACTACTACTACTGTTACTGCTGCTGGTACTAGTAGTACGAGCGGTTGTAGCAATAATGCTCTAATACTTTCGTCACTTGACTCATAGAGAAAGTGCCTGTTCGCAGAAGTAGTCCTACGGTAACAGTAATACCCTATGACTGGCTGTAGTCATGGTGCTGTCGAACAGTAGTAGCAGAACTACTACAACGAATCGTAGCAGCAGTAGTCGTAGTAGTAGTAGTAGTAATAAAAGTAGTAGTAGTAGTAGTAGTCGTCGTAGTTGTAGTAGTTGTAGTACTAGTAGTAGTAAGAGTAGTAGTAGTAGTAGTAGTAGTAGTAGTAGTAGTAGTAGTAGTAGTAATAGTAATCGTAGTAGTAGTAGTAGTAGTAGTAGTAATAATAGTAAAAGTATCAGTGGTAGTCATAGTCGTTGTAGTAGCTGTAGTAGTAGTCGTCGTAGTAGTAGTAGTAGTAGTAGTAGTAGTAGTGGTGGTGGTGGTGGTAGTAGTAGTAGTAGTAGTCGCCGCTGCAGTAGAAGTAGCAGTCGAATCGAATTGGTACGTTTGCATTGTACTTGCATTGTACTGGGGTAATACTATGATGCTGTAGCCTCGTGGTCGTGATATTGGACCAGTACTCTCGGAGCACTGTGAGTACTGTCCTAGTAGTAGTCCTGCGAAAGTCGTTCTGTATTGCAGTCCTGTGCTAAAATGACGGTTGACAAACCCGAGAAAAAAAACGGCGGCCAAGTTTGAAAGTTGAATTTGTGAGAGTTCTGCACCCTGAAATTTTCAGGCTTACGCGTTCAAATGTTGTCCCAGCTGTTTATCTCAACTTTCCATCAGTGGACGCTTGAAACATCCAAACTTTGAGCAGATAAAGTGTAAACGCCCTCCCATTTAATCCGCCCCAGAAGGTTCAGTGACGGCCAAAAAGGGGCTCCCAAAAGGCCCAAGAGGGCCTCACGATATCCCATGAGGGCCCAAGAGGGGCCCAAGAAGGAGAAAGCGAAGGAGCCTTGAGAGCCCCAGCACCGAAGACTCTCAACATACTCCCCAAAGGCACCCAGATGCCCGAAGAAACCCACAAGAAGGCCTCAGGAGGCCCCGACAATGTCTCGAAGAGGCCCTCGAGAAGCCTCCCAGGAGACCCCAAGAAGCCTCTAAAAAAAGCTGTTCACCCACGGCCCAGGGATGGCGGTGCGATAGGTTCCCCGAGGGCGCCCAAGTCCTTCAAGGCCCCCCTGGAGCCACCCACAGACTCGCAAGAGCTCCCACAAACTCGAATGGCCTCCCAGGGGCCCCAAGGCTTCCCAGAAGGCCCGTAGATGCGCCACAGAAAAGGCCAGCAAAACAGCAGGCAAACAAAAACCCACAGCACCCCCACCCCCTTCTGGGGACAAGCAGCAGGCAAGCAGGAGGTTGGCCAGACCCTTGCGCTTTGAAGCCTGAGTGGCCTCCCTTACAATGGAGGTCAGTCCACAAGAAACCTTCCACAAGAAACCCAACCCTGAGACCCCAGGACGTCCCTTGATTTTTGGTGTGGGAACGTCAAGCTTTCCATCGCAAACCCAGCGCACCCTGGAGGCAAGCAGGGTGTTTCTTGGCCTTGGCCTCCACTGTATGATCCGAAGGCGGTGTCGCACGAACTGCGCGGGGTGGGCGGCCTAGGGCCAACGACGCCTGCGGAGGGCTTCGCCGGCCCCTCGGCCAGACAGCACAGGGCGGCACCCGCAGTCCTGCGACCGCCCTGCCAGAGCCCAGCGACGGGCAGCCGAGGAGCCCTTCGACAGTCCCGGCGAGGCGCCCGACGACGTGCCGGGCGACGGGCGGACGAGGAGCCCTTCGACAGGCCTGGCGAGGCGCCCGGCGACGCAGACGAGGCGGCCGTGCCTGCGGCCCCGGGGCGGGCGAAAGGGGGGGAATAGCAAGAGGGGGCCAGCGAATCCGCTCACGCGGCCAGCGTTTCCCCAGTGCCTCCGGGCAGACAGCGTCGAGGAAGGCGTCCGGCGGCGGGGCCGGGACCAGCTGCCTGCGGCAGATTTCGTACCCCCCCCCCCCGCGCTGGCGCACCCTCCTCGGCGACCCCCCCGCTGGCGCACCCTCCTCGGCGAGGTGGGCGCGGTCGCGCCGCAGCGAGAGGCTGTCAAGGCTCACCGCGCGCTGGTCCTGCTCGGCCGCGCCGCATGGAGGAGCGGAGCAGCAAGATAGCGAGGATCAGGATGAGGATGGGGATGATCGTGGTTCGCCGTAAAAGCGACCTGGTCGTCTTTTGTTTTCTACTCTGGGCTCTTGACAGGCTGAAAACGGTGACAAAAACGGTACGTTCGTTTAGCGTTTTTAGGGGTCGTTGTTTTGGCGTTTTGGGGGGCGTGTCTAGGGCGCTTTCAGGCTGAAAACGCTAAAACATGTCTGGAAACGCTAACACAACGCATCATTGCTTTAGCGTTGTTAGTTTTCTTGGTTGAGACCTGAAAGCGCTAAAACAACGATTTCCAAGACGCCGAGCTGAAAACACTAAAAAAAAGCCCTGGGCAGATTCAAGGCGAACCAAGAGGATGATGATGTAGTTGACGATGACGGCGATGATGACAATTACGATCATAATGAGGAGGATGAAGATGGTGCTGCTGATGCTGATGCTGATGCTGCTGCTGCTGATGATGATGCTGATAATGCTGATACTGATGATGATGGTGGTGATGATGATGACGATGATGATGCTGATGATTGTGACGATGATGATAATTACGACAATGGTAATGATGATGATGATGATGATGATGATGATGATGATGATGATGATGATGATGATGATGATGATGATAACGGTGATTATGATGATGGTGATGATGATACCGATGATGGGTATGACGACGATGGTGATACAGATACTGGTGATGATGAAGGTACTGCTACTGATGATGGATATGCTGTTCATGATGGTGATGACAATGCTGATCATGGTGATGATGCTGGTGGTGATGATGCTCATGAAGATGGTGATGCTAATGATGATGATGCTGATGATGATGATGATGATGATTGTGATGATGGCGATGATGATGATGACGATGATGATGCCGATGTTGATGTTGATGGTGACTATGATGATGATGATGATCATGAACACGACGATGGTGGTGGTGATGATGACGATGATGAGGATGATGATGCTGCTGATGATGATGCTGGTGAAGATGAAAATGATGATGACGATGATGGCGATGACGATGACGATGACGATGATGAGGATGAGTATGAGGATGATGATGATGATGATGATGAAAATGATGATGATGATGATGATGATGATGATGATGATGATGATGATGATGATGATCATGATGATGATGGTGATGATGATGATGATGATGATGATGATGATGATGATGGTTGGGATGACGGAGGGCGGGAGGGCGCGAGTTGGCGGACGAACAACTGTACAACATGAGCGCATCCATCGTGTGGGAGCGCCTGTCCCAGGGCGGCTGCGAGAGCCTATACACTTAGCTACGGTGGCGCGTTGGGGCAGTAACTTTCCAGCCGCCCTGGGGCAGGCGCCCCCCCCCCCGAGGGCGAAGCAGCTTAGCTTTGCACCTCGCCGTCGCTAGGACGTCCAGTCGCAGTTTCACGTGTCGGCTTCGCGCGTGCTTGTTGTTGCAAAGCTGATCATCATCAGCATCAGCATCAGCATCAGCATCAGCATCAGCATCAGCATCAGCATCAGCATCAGCATCAGCATCATCATCATCATCATCATCATCATCATCATCATCATCATCATCATCATCATCATGGTCCTCCCTCTCCTCATGCTCCGCGTCGCCATCTCCTTGGCTTAGCTGCCCCGATACGCAGCACGCAACACGTGGCGTGCTGCCACGGAGCTCGACACGCAAGCCGGAGACGGAAGCCTGGCGCGATGCGCTCGCCGACGGGTGTGGGCCCGCGCGTGCCGAGCCGACACGCGGCGTGCTGACACGGACGTTTTGAACACGGCACGTGCTACAGTCGGGGCGTTGACCTAAGGAACCTTAAATAAGGAACGACGATATCCGGTCGAAAACATCAGGAAAGCCTGAGGCAAGTTGTGAAAACACTTAAGGAACGCGGGGCCCCTCCCCAACGAGCAGGGTTCCTTCTTCAGGGCCCCGACTGTACGTTTCAACACGGGCGTATCAGGGCAACGAAATCCAGGATGCTCCTCGATGGCCCTCGCCGAGAAACAATGCACACGTCCGCGCGCGCGCGCGCCAAGGGTAGAACTCCTCGTCCGCTCAGAGGGAGCACCGGGGGGGGGGGGCGCAGGAGGAATGCCCGCCGCGGCCACGGGCATCTTCCCCCGCCTCCACATGCAGATACTTCTCGGTCGCTTCGCCATGGCTCGGACGTCCATTCCCTTTGCATATTTGTTGATTCTGTGCGTGCATGTTTGTCGCTAGATGTTCCAGCATGCTCCTCGATGGTCCTCGCCGAGAAGCGTGCACACGTCTGGGCGATGCCAGGTCGCTGTGAGCTGCCCCGGCGCGCCGATGTTGGGCCTTTGGCCCACAGCCCGTGCGGTGCGGGTCGGCAAAGAGGAGGAGCGTCGCAGGAGTTGGGCAGCCCGCCCCTCCTCTGCAGAGCCCACGATCCCTGCCGCGGCCCTGCCTGCGGCAACGTCGCACTGCTGCTCTGAAGGGGCCCATGGGACACACAAACCAATACACACAATAAAAAGATCCCCCATGTTTTCCCACAGTTTCTGGGCTCTTGTCTTTCCCACCACTTCCCAGAGTTTCCCCTATTTTCTGGGGAGTCGACGATTGATTGTGTCTGTGTGTTTCTTCCCCTCCTGATCCTTTGCCACAGGAGAGGCACAACAGGCTGTAGTGAGCTCGACCCTTCCCGCGCCGAGGAGCGCTCAGGCACTTGAAGGCACTGCTGTGCAGCCAGACGCGCACGAGTTGCGTGTGCCCAGGCAGTTTGCGCGGCAAGGGATCGCGTACGCGCGGGCAGCATTCCTCGACACCAGCGATGCTCGCAGAGGCAAGGGCGAGGAGCGCGAAGGTTTGGAGCCCCCAGGGCCCCAGATCTTGCCAGAATCGCCCCCCCCCCCCCCCCCAAAAAAAAAGAGCAGCGACCACAGCAGCTCCAGCATGGCGGAGGTCGGCGGATGCCTCGGCCACAGCACGCGTGCACTGCTGCAGTGACGCCGTGCCGCCGTGCCTGCAGTAGTCCGAGCCCTCCTCCGACACCCCGCGCCTTGCGTCACGCCGGAGATCTCCCCAAGGGGGGTCCAGCGCCGACCCCCCCCAAAGGAAGCCTGCACATCTGCGCAGGGGCCAGCCATGATCGCTCAAACGGGGGCCACGTGGAGACAGAGGAGGCAGCGGCCAAAGGGAGGTGCAGTCGGACAGGGGGCGAAAGGGAATGGGAGTGGGCCTCCGAAAGCTGGTGCTGATTCTCCTCTTGCTCCTTCAGAGGAGGCCGAGCCACCCGCGGACACCTCGAGCCTCCCTCCCTCCCCTCCGACACCTCCGACCTCCGCCACCACCTCCTCCTGCGGTTCCCAGTGCCCCCCCGTCCCAGTGCTCCGACGTCAGATCCAGAGCTCCAGAGGCGTTCGTCGTCGTCGTCGGCATCGGTCGTCGGTCTTCGGTCGTCGGTCGTCGGTCGTCGGCCGTCGCTCGTCGGTCGTCGGCCGTCGCTCGTCGGTGGTCGGTGGTCGGTGGTCGGTGGTCGGTGGTCGGTGGTCGGTGGTCGGTGGTCGGTCGTCGTCGTCGTCGTCGTCGTCGTCGTCGTCGTCGTCGTCGTCCGTCCGTCGTCGTCGTCGTCGTCGTCGTCGTCGTCGTCGTCGTCGTCGTCGTCGTCGTCGTCGTCGTCGTCGTCGGTCCGTCCGTCGTCGTCGTCGTCGTCGTCGTCGTCGTCGTCGTCGTCGTCGTCGTCGTCGTCGTCGTCGTCGTCGTCTCGGGTCGGGCGAAAGGGGGGGATAGCAAAGGGGGGGTTTGAGAATCAGCTCGCGTAGCTGATTTTCCCAGCGCCCGAGGCGGCTATGTATCGAGGAATGGGCCCCTCGGTGAGGCCGAAATCAGCTGCATGCAGCAAATTTCGTAACCCCCCCTTTCCCAATCCCCCCCTTTCGCCCGGCCCGATCGTCGTCGTCGTTGTCGGTCGCCGTCGGTCGCCGTCGGTCGCCCGGCGCCCGCGTCCCCCCGCCTCGCCCGCGGCGCGCCCCGTCGCCCCTCCTCCTTGAGGCCCTCCAGGCGGTCGCGCAAGCCGTCGAGCTCCCGCTCGAGCTTGTCGCCCCGGTCCTCGGGACAGGCCGGGGGGCCGAAGCGCTCCAGCGAGCACCCTCCTCCTCCTCGTCCCGCTCGTACTCTTCACCGCCTGCACCCTCATCATCCATCCTCCTCCTCCTCCTCCTCCTCCTCCTCCTCCTCCTCCTCCTCCTCCTCTTCCTCCTCCTCCTCCTCCTCCTCCTCCTCCTCCTTCTCCTCCCCCTCTTCCTCCTGCTCCTCTTCCTCCTCCTCCTCCTCCTCCTCCTCCTCCTCCTCCTCCTCCCTCTCCTCCCCCTCCCCCCTCCCCCATCACCCCGTGTGTTCGAGCTCCCGCGTACGTGGGGGCGCGCGGGGGAGGGGGACAAATTGCAGAAGTCGCGGCTTTGGGGGAGGGGCGACCCCCGTGCTAGTTCCTTTCGATGTCCTGTCGTTGGGGTCCATCAAGAAGGGGAGGACGACGAGGACGAGGGTGAGGGAAGGGGGAAGGGAGGAGGGAGGAAAGAGGAGGACGACGACTACGAGGAGGGAGCAGGGAGACGGGAGGGGGGAGAAGAGAACGGTCCCCGTGCGGCTGATCACATGACTGCTCCAGCGCTGGACGCGAGGGCTTGTGAAGGACGAAGAACTAACGCACGGCAGGGGAGCGCGCAGCCCTTGGATGGTGCCTCGAGCGGCCCCGCTTGCCTGCCCGTGCATCCAGTCACAGTGATGGGCCTTCCGATGCCTGACCGGGCGCGCCCGCGGGTGGTCTGCACACGGCGTACCCCAGGACTCCACCTCCCCGGTCTCCCCCGCCCCCTCATCATCCGCCTCCGCCTCCTCCTCCTCCCCCGTCTCCCCCGCCCTCTCCCCCTCCCACTCCCTATCCTCCTCCGCCTCCTCCTATTTCCCCCATTGCCTCTCCCCCATCGAACCGCAGCGGATCGAAACCAGTCTCGCTCACGAGCAAAAAAGACTGGACGATGCCTTGGAGCGTCCTTCGAAGAAGAATGTGTGCGTCCAGCCTTGTTGCCCCCCTGTGGAGGAGGATGAGGATGAGGAGGTGCGGCACTCATGGGCGGAGGAAGAGGAGGAGGAGGAGGAGGAGGAGGAGGAGGAGGAGGAGGAGAAAGAGGAGGAGGAGGAGGAGGAGGAGAAGGAGGAGGAGGAGGAGGAAGAGGAGGAGGAGGAGGAGGAGGAGGAGGAGGAAGAGGAGGAGGAGGAGGAGGAGGAGGAGGAGTTGGGGGGCACTACAGTCGGGGCGCTGAAGAAGGAACCCTTTTAGTTGGGGAGGGGCTCGGTGTTCCTGGATTGGTTTGCAGTTTGCCTTGGGTTTTCCTTAGGTGTTCGATCGGGAATCGAAGTTGAACTCATGGAAAAGGGGGCCTTGTGTCTTATCCAGGGCTCTTCAGGTCAACTATAACATCTCCTTATTCTCTGCGTTGGGGGGCACTACCATCACATCTCCTCTCGGATCTGCTTGGGGTATGCAAGCAGCACCTGCCGCACCGTTTTTGGACATGCAAGCAGCACCTGTCGCACCAGTCTCTGTCCTCCTCCTCCTCCTTCTCCTCCCCCTCTTCCCTACTCCTCCGGATCGTCTCTGCGCGAGCTGCTTTAAGCAAAGCCTCGTCGACGCTCGGTGCCCAAATGGCGTACAGCTTCGTTGCAATCGAGAAAAAACTCCTCCCCTCGCGGTGTCGAGCGGTGGCCAGACAACGCTCGCCCTGCTCTGCACACCTTCAGAACAGGGCCTGGCGACTAGCACGCTGGGCGCGCGCGCGCGCCTGTGCCGGGAAGGTTCTCAAGCGAGGAAGCTCTGCGCGCGGCCACGACGCAGTGGCGTCGCGTCGGGCCTTGTGAGCAGGATGGTGCAGACGAGGCCTCCTGAGCCCAGCCCCTCGCCTCATCCGCCTCCTCCTTCTCGTCGTCGTCGGACTCCTCCTCCTCCTCCCTCCCTCCTCCTCCTCCTCCTCCTCCTCCTCCTCCTCCTCCTCCTCCTCCTCCTCCTCCTCCTCCTCCTCCTCCTCCTCCTCCCACCCTCCTCCTCCTCCCACCCCCCTCCTTCCTTCCTGAATTCCTTCCTTCATCCCCTGCTCCGTCTTACCCCCCTCCCTCCTCCTCCCTCCCTCCTTCCCTCCCTCCCTTTCCTTCTCTCTCCCTCCGCCCTCCTCCGCCCTAATCATCCTCCTCCTCCTCCTCCTCCTCCTCCTCCTCCTCCTCCTCATCCTCCTCCTCCTCCTCCTCGTCCTCCTCGTCCTCCTCGTCCCTCGTCCTCCTCGTCCTCCTCCTCCTCCTCCTCCTCCTCCTCCTCCTCCTCCTCCTCCTCCTCCTCCTCCTCCATTCGTCGTCCTTGTAAATAGGTCCTCCCTGTCGCACCCCGAGGCCAGTCGGAAGGGCGGGCCGGGCGTTGCGCTTGAGACATCCTCACCACTTACGAGCCTGAAGCTTACACGCTGGCCCCAGGGGCTCCAAAATGACGCGAAAAGCTGGGGGCACCTTGGGCCAGGGGCACTTCTAGCAACACCCGATTGTTAATTCTCCCGACTAACGCATCCCGACGCTGCGCGCGCTGTTCGTCATCCGCCGCCCCCTTGTGGTCTTGCCACGCTGGTGCAAGGCGTGCGGAACGCCTGACAAGTTCTTGCTTCCTTTTTAAAGAACTCCCCTATGGGGCTTCGGCCCAGCCCGCCGGCCACCTGGAAAGCTCCGGGCGATCAAGACTGCCCAATATGCACTAGACGGCCTCAGATGGCCTCAAGATGGCCCAAGACGGCCCGAGAAGCCCCCACCCAAGAGTCCTCCAAGACGGCCCAAGAGGCCTCCAAGAGGCCCTACAGGAAGGCCCGAAGATGTCGAAACCATTGATTTTACTATGGCTTTTGAAGGTTTTGGGCTTTTCTTTTCGGTTTTCCGACGGCATAAGACGGCCCGACAGACCCCCAAGATCGCGCAGAGGCCTCCAAAATGGCTCCACGACTGCCCAAGAAATCCCCGCGACGGCCCTAAGACGGTTCCAGATGGCCCCCAAGATGCCCAAGATGGCCTCCAAGACGGCCAAGATGGCCCCAAGAGAGTCCAAGATGACCGCGTAAATGTCTCCAATACGGCCCAAGATGCATCCAAGGACGGCCCAAGATAGCCTCATGATGGCTCAAAACGGCCCAAGATACCCGCAAGATCTTTCCCCGAGAGGCCTCCAAGACGACCTCAAAGAAAGCCCGAAAAGGCCAAATCATTGATTTGCTCCCCCAAGCGTTTCCCGAATGGTTTCCACAACGGCTGGGGAAATTCATAGTCCGATAGTTTGGACGAGCTCTGGCCACAACGTTCGGCCACATAGGCGTATTCTAAAACGCAGGGGGCGGCGGTGATTCGCTGTATGCGTCTTCGATAAATTCCTGGGACTGATTCGAAAATGTCCGGAACCAACTGTAAGCCACTTCGGGTCATTCGGCTCCCAGAATTAAACTCCTGGTATGGATTTTGCGTTCGCTTCCTGGCATCCCTGGCATCACTAGAATCCCTGATATCCCTGGCAGTCTGGCATCCCTGGCATCCCCATAGGCACCGCAAGTCGCACACGCCCCACAGGTCGCACAGGTCCCACAGGCCTCACAGGTCCCACAGGTAGCACAAGTCGCACAATTCCCCACAGGACTCACAAGTCCCATACACCCCGAAGGTGGCACTGGTCCCACAGCTCCCACAGGCCCCGCAGGTCCCACACATCGTGCGGGTCCCAAATGTTCCACAGGTCCCATAGGTCCAGCATATCCCACAGGCCGCACAAGTTGCACAGGCATCCTGGGATCTTGCGGTGCTGGCATCCTGGTCTCATGTCATTCTGGCACCCTGGCATTGGCATCCTGGGATCTTGCCATGCTGTCATATGCAGTCATATGCTGTCATCCAGGCCTCCTGGCGGCCTGGCATCCTGGCAACCTGGCATAGTGGAGTCCTAGCGTCTTGGATTCCTGGAATCCTGGTTTCCTGGCACCCCGGCGTCCTAGCATCTGGGCATCCTGGCATCATCTCGATCGTTAGTCGTCGATTGTCGCGCACATGTGCACAAATGAGATTATCCAGCGGGGTCCTACCGTCGGAATATTTTTAGTGCGTGCATGCCGAATTTCACACTCTTCGGAGTTACCTCATACTCGAAACCAGAAACCAGAAACCATGAGGAGGGTGAAGGAGGAGGTAATAGGAGGAGGGAGAGGGAAAAGCCCTGATCATGATCACCTCCATCACCTCATCCACGACCAAATGAGCGCATCAGTCATGCCATTGCTGGCCTTATTGTTTTTTCCCATGTCTCTATTGCCTTCTTTTGTCCAACTGCGCTCACCCAGATTTACTGTCGGCCACAGCGCCACGGTCGGTACCTTTTCTACCCTGCCGCCTCCTCGCCATCCTGACGCTACGACCTCGGTCGATCCAAGTTTGCCCGACGTCAGAAGCGGAGGATCCCCAGGGGAGGGAGGCTGGACGGGGCTAGGACGAAAATAAATCCATTCCAGAGCGTCCCCGAACGCTCTCAGAGCGTTCGGGGACGCTCTGAGAAGGGCGCGGCGCCCGAGACATCCTCCAGAGCCGCCGGATCTCAGAGATTGCTGATTTACCCTCACCCGATGCTATCCTTGTGGATGCCACGACAATGGACACCCTAACAGTCCTATCGTTGAATTTAAAATCTGTTTAACATGTAGGAACAATGTCATACACATGTTTCAAACATATTTTTACATGCTTCAAACATGTTTAATCCATGTTTTCAACATCTGAATGTCATTTGGCAACATGCTTCCTCTCCATTGATCGTCCTCCACTATTCTATCCTCGTCCCGGCCTCGTCCCAGGAGGGTCGGGCCGGGCGAAAGGGGGGGATAGCAAAGGGGGGGTTGGGGAATCAGCTCACGTGGCTGATTTTCCCAGCGCCTCCCGGCGCCGGGAGGCGCCCATGCATCGAGGAATGGGCCCGGCGGCGGGGCCGAAAGCAGCTGCACGCAGCAGATTTCTTAATTCCCCCTTTCCCTCTCCCCCCCCTCCCCCTCCTCCCCCGCCTCCGCCTCCTCCTCCTCCTCCTCCCTCCTCCATCCACCCCTCCTCTCCTCCTACCTCCTCCTACCTCCTCCTACCTCCTCCTCCTCCTCTCCTCCTCCCCTCCTCCTCCTCCTCCTCCTGCTCTCCTCCTCCTACCATCCTCCCTCCTCTTCCCCCTCTCCTACCTCTCCGCCTCATCCTCCTCCTCCACCCTCCTCCTCCTCCTCCTACCTCTCCTCCTTCCCCTCCTCCTCTCCTCCTCCTCCTCCTCCTCCTCCTCCTCCTCCTCCTCCTCCTCCGCCTCCTCCACCTCCGCCTCCCCCCTTTCGATCGGACCGAGAGGGGGGAGCGGCAGGGCAGCGGCGGGGGCGCAGGGGCAGCGGCCGGCCCGGGCGGGCCGCAGCAGCGGCGCGCGCCGGAGAGGGGGGGGGTCCTGCAGCCGGTGGCCCTCGCTGCGCGCCTCGCGCATCTGCCGGGCGCGCGGGGGAGGGAGGGAGGGAGGGAGGAGGGAGGGAGGGAGGGGGAGGGAGGAGGAATGAGGAGAGAAGGCAGAGAGAGGAGGTAGGAGGAGGAGGAGGAGGAGGGAGGAGGAGGAGGAGGAGAGGAGGGGATGAGATGTGGATAGGAGGAGGGAAGGGAGGGAGGGAGGGAGGGGGGGGAGGGGAGTGAGGTATGCCCCTGGGAGGAGGAGGAGGAGGAGGAAAGGCGGGGGGGAGGGAGGGAGGGAGGGAGGGAGGAGAAGGAGGACGGAGGGCGGGGGGGAGCGAGGGGAGGAGGAGGAGGAGGAAGGGAGGGAGGGAGGGAGGAGCGCAGTACCAAGGCGACGGGAGTGCGAGGTTGGTGTTGATCGCACCCTCTCAAAGGTCTTTTGCAGAGAGCGTTCAGACGCAGCGCCTTCACCAGGCAACGTCAGGGCAAAATAAAAGGGAAGGAGGCGGGAGGAGGGAAGGAGGGCGGGATGGAAGGATGGAGGAAGGAGGAAGGAGAGAGGGAGCAGGAGGGAGAATGATTATGATAATGCTGCTGCTGCTGATGATGATGATGACAGTGATTATGATGATGATTATGATGATGATTATGATGATGAGGAGGAGGAGGAGGAGATAAGGATAATGATGAGGGAGGAGGAGGAGGGAAGAGGGAGGAAACAAGTAAGGACGAGGGTGGTGGTGATGATGATGATGAGGGGGAGGAGGAATAGGAGGAACGAGCGGCAGGAACAGGCCCTCCTCCTACTCAACATCAGCCAGAACATCACCACCTGCATCATCATCATCATCATCATCAGCATCATCATCATCATCATCATCATCAGCATCAACATCACCACCACCATCATCACCAGCATCAACATCCGCATCATCAGCATCACCATCATCATCAACAGCATCATCATCATCATCATCATCGTCAAAGCGATCGTCATCTTCACAATCATCTCCAGTACCATCACCATCACCATCATCATCATCATCATCAGCAGCAGCAGCGGCATCATCGTAATTATCATCATCGTCAACATCGCCGTCATCTTCACCATCATCATGAACATCAGCATCATCAGTATCATCCTCACCATCATCATCAGCATCAGCTGCATCGCCACCACCACCAATCATCATCATCACCAGCATCACCACCATCATCAGAATCAGCATCACTGTCACCACCATCATCATCACCATCATTCTCATCATCCTCGTCATCATCAGCATCACCATCGTCATGTTCAGCATCAGCATCGCAATCATCACCATCATCATCATCATCACCATCACAAGCATCATCCTCGTCATCATCAGCATCACAAATCGTCATCTTCATCATCAGCGTCGCCATCATCACCATCGT